ACCCTGGGGGGTTTTAAGAGGAGGTTAGATAAACACCTTGCTGGGGTCGTTTGACCCCAGTAATCTTTCCTGCCATGGCAGGGGGTCGGACTTGATGATCTACTCAGGTCCCTTCCAACCCTAGAAACTATGCAACTATGTGGCTGCAAACTACATTTGGAACCTAACACTTACAAATATAAGTGAAAGAGATCATGATGAGTTTCAAGTCCCATGTTCCTGGGACAGAAACTGTTTGTAGGCTGGTATCAAGGAAACACTTCTTCTTCACTCCACCTATTGTAAAACAAATATTTTTATTAAGGCTTTATAGAGTCCACTGGTCTGTTCTAGGTGTTCCTCCTTTGTGTTTTCTAAGTTTTGCTATATGTGGGAGGCCAAGAATGTGTCAACTAGTTATTTTCAAGTGCAACTTTTGTAGTATCTGGGTGCTACCATACACACACACACACACACACACACACACACACACACACACACACACACTGGGCCCATGTGATGGTAATCTATAGGTGTACATATTCTGGATATTAAATAAAAAGTGCAGATATTCATAGGCCTTTCAGCCTCTGATCCTGTAAAGAACTGAGCACTTTGATCCTAATCCAGCTGGGTAGTTTTTCCATACTTACATTTAAGTCTGAAGGTGTCCCATCGGCTTCATAGACTTAAAATTAAGCACATGTACAAATCGTTTGTGGATTGAGGGCAGAGTGCTTAGTACCCAGGTCTGAGCCCTGTTATACATGTGTAAACATCAACTGTTAGTTATGTATTATTTTGATAGGATGTATATCTTAGTGCTCTGTCTTAGGGCTGAGGTGAAGCTTGCTCTTACATCCCACTGGAGACACTAATTACTGAGGGTGCTCCAGGAATATGATCTTTACTGGTCTTTACTTAGTCTTTACTGAGCACTAAGTTCCAGTCCCTAGATTGAGAGATATGAGCCAAATTTCATTTTAGTAATGGATGTCAAAGGAATCCTTGAAAAGTCCAATATAAAGATGCCCTAAATGAAGGTGACAACATTTATTATTATGAGGGTGACTGGTAGATAACAAAATCTTATTTTTCTGCACAGGAGAAGCTCTGGAGAAGACGGAAGAGCGACTGGTCTATGGAATAGAGTATAATAGCACACTTCTGGAATGTATCCCTAGGACGTTACAAGCAAAGGTGATCTGGTTTGTACAGCGAGCCCGTGACTCCAGAAAAGAAGAGGTAACTTTCCATATAGTTCTAGTTTCATCATTTTTACTAAATCAGTTTGTTGTGTTAGGGAAATTGTAGGTTAAAAAAAACAATTCCCCTCCCCCCCTGGCCGCCCCGCAAAATAGCTGGTGTCAGCAGGTGTCATGTACATACATTCATATATATTTGAACCATTTTAATTATGCAGGGAATCAGATTAGATAAACAGGCCAGAAAATTTCACCCAGTGATTCCTGCTTGAAGCTGAATAGTTCGTAGCTGAACTTGCGCATGCTTTTAAAAATGCAGCCAGTCTTGATTTACAGCCTCAGTAGGCATATCTGCATGTTCATTAATGTACCATAATTACAGCACATTAAGTTTAGTACCTGTAATGACAGTTACTAACTTAATGTGCCATAATTAGTGCTACTGCGCATTAATGTAGATAAACGCTTTTTTAGTGATGTTATTGAGCATTAGACTAATGGACATTAGTGCATTAGCATTGGTTTTGCCCACTGTGCTTTGTAGAAATAGTCGTCTTTGCCTTAAATGTCTTATGTAGATGCACCCGGTGTGATGCAGAGTCTGTTCCAATGGGAAGCTTTTTTCCCTGTTTAAAAATGTCCACTTTATTTCCAGTTTGAATTGGTCTAAATTCAACTTTGATCTATTGTTTTGTGTTGTTCATCTATTACATTAAAGTGACCTCTCATCTCGGATATCTTCTTCCTTTGTATATACCCAGAGACTGTGATCAAGTTATCTGTCTATCTGATGTGCTCATAGTGCCCCCATTAGCATAAATGCCCTATCACCCTGAGTATATTTATCCTGACAGCATCCCTATGATATACGGCAGTATCATAGTCTCCGTTTTACAGATCCAGACCTAACTACATTGTTGGTGTTTAAAGCTGGCATTTTAGTTTCTGTTGAAGTCATTGAACCCTTAACACAGTTGTCACCGACTGTGTAGGTACCTTAAAACCTTAAGAACAAATCCTGACGTTGCTGAACTCCTCAGATCCCAGGTAGTGCCTAAGCCCTACCAGGATTCTGCACCCATTTTGCCTGTGCAGTCCTAATTAAATAGACATTTTCAGGGAACACTGTATTGGATTGGGCCTCATGCAAAAGCCAGCAAGGTATAAGAATATTTTGAGAAGGCTTGGGGGAAACAGGATGGAGGCATATGTGTTAGGCAACTCATCTGACAGAACTTACCTGGGAGGCAAGGAGATCTGCTTTCAAATTACTACTCTTCCTGGTTGAAAGCAGGAACCTAACCACAAGATCTCCCACATGCTTGGAGAGTGTCCTAACCACCAGGCAACTGGGTCATCTAGTCCCCTGCCTCGCTTGGTAGCTTCTGTCAGAGGTGGATCCAGGGTTGGCGGGAGGGGGCACAGCCACCCACCTTCAGCTGAGTGCCATATATAAAATGAATTCTCTGAGCTTCCTGGCATATCAGCCTATGTCCTGCCATGTCCTGCTGCCATGAGCTCTGAACTTACCAGTTGATTGGCACAGGCTTTGGCCAGAGCCCTTGCTTTCACACAGGTCTGGAGCCCGGTGGTGAGCACCACTGCCATTCGACCTCCCTTCCTCCCCTCTGCCACTGAATTCAGCAGCAGGAGAGAAGAGGGGACAAGTGGTGGCAGTGGTACGTACCTCCTGGGCCTTGAAGCTGCATGAAAACATTAGTTCCAGCCAGAGCCTGGGCTGATCTGCTGGTGACCTCAGAGCTCATAGCATTTATGGAATGACTGAAGGGCCACGCAATGATACCGCTGCGCCCCTTTCACATACACCCCAGATCAGTCCTGGCTTCTCCGAATCGATGCAAGGGGACCTGCATGGCAATATGGGTATTTAGCTCGGGGCTGAGCATCCATTAGGAAGCAGACAGCTTAAAAAACCGTACTGAAACACCTACATTTTTTGAGATTTAGCCCTGAGCCACTTGCTTATGCTCACACAGGAAATCCCTGGCAGAGGGCAGGGCTCTCAAGTCCTAGACTTGCAATCTGCTCCTCTAAGTTAAATCCTGTAGTTGCTCACAGGCTAAGTTACAGCACTCACACACCTCTGCATTTGTGGCTAAGTCTGTAGGATGCATTTGATGAATGGTGTTTCCCTGGTCTTTTTAGTGCAGTGTTGCATTTTTATATTTGCACCACAACTGCATTAATAAAACAGAGCATTATTTGTTCATTTCTCAGGTAAAGACAGATGACAGAATAGTCAAAATGGACCTTGGCCTCTTGTTCCTAAAACTGTACAGGATGGACGCGGGAACATATTTCTGTCAGACAGTGGAACACAGCATTGTTCATACAATCAGAAAAATCACCCTGGAGGTGGTGGAAGAAGAACGTGTAGATGAGATGTTCAACAAAGACTATGAGGAGGACGTCACTCATAAAATGCCATGCCCAGTGCACAGCAGCATCCCTCAAGCATCAAAGCCATGGTACAAAGAGTTTCTGCAGCTAATAGGCTACAGCAACTTCCAGAGGGTTGAGGAGTATTGTGAAAAGGTGTGGTGCACGGATAAGAAGAGAAAAAAGCTAAAAATGTCCCCATCCAAGTGGAAGTATGCCAACCCCCAGGAGAAGAAAGCACGCAGGTCAGACCATTACCGCCTCCCCAGGAACACTGCTGACTCTTGATGGACAAAATCTATTCACTGTTTCTCAGAGAATTTTTATTTGGACCTAAGGGATAAGGGGAAATAAATCTTGGTTTTGGGTAACTGAAACAGGTTTATATATAAAAGAAATAATAGGACTGAAAACAGAAGAGTATTATGGTAAGTTATAGCTTACATTCATGATGACTGTTCAGAAGCATTTAAAAAAAATCTGCTTAAGTAGCTGTTTCTAAATAGGTCATTGCATACAGAGTTTTTCTTTTCAGGACAACTTCATATTTTTGAGTGCTTTAATGAGTTTCCCATACAGACTATGTTTATGCTGTGTATTGTTGCATATTATGGGGATATTGAAGTCAACTCAAATAGCTGCACATTGACAAGCAAAAGACAAAAATGTGATATTTTGTTTCGTACGTTTTCACAAATTTCTGATTGCTTCTAAAAGCAGCACATCATAAAACCTTAGTTTTCCCCTGTGGCCTGCTTCAATTCAAAAGATACAGGTTTTCATAGTGTGGTGTACTGCTATTTCTAAAGAGGCTGAAGGGACCTTCCCTTTTACTTCTCATTGGTACTTGTCTTTGCCAGTCATTTACAAAGCACAGTGTACTCCTATCACAGCTAAGTAGTATTGCCATGTAACTCAGTGTATGTCAAATGCATGCACAGATCACAAATGGAATGACATTTTTCAGTGTAACTCTGTAAGAAGTGGACAGATAATGGTTTAGCCAGAGTATAAGTCACAGTCATAATGCTGGACAAGTGGCTCAATAACTGACAGGTTTACAGGACTGCCCTGCTCTGATAAAAAGAAGTCATTTCCTTGTTGTGTTGTATATTTTCTCTAGAAATGTATGTACTGAAGCATACCTACCTCCTCCCAATAAACAATACGTGTATTTCCAGCATGTAAATAAATTCTGCATGTGCTGAAATCACAAGTGTTTAGAAGGCAGAGATGTAAGCTACTTGCATTGGAAAGACAGCATTCAAAGATAGAATGAATAAGGCAGAAAGTGTCATGTGTTTTGGTGTAGCAGGCACTCATAAAACAGAATGGTAGGTAAAAATATCACAAGCAGTGTGCCTATATAACATTCCTATAGTATTTCCCTAGTTTCTTGGTTTGATTCAAGGAATTCTTAACCTGGTAGGTGATCTCCTCTCAGCATGGCTATTGCTAAGAAACTCATAGCTGCACTTGTGAATACTGGGAAAACTATGGGGAGAAAGTTCGAAAGAACCCGGGCATCTGAGTAGCATTGAAAAGTTATACAAAGTTTTAAGTGCAATTCCCATATTCTTCTTGAATATATAAAGTACCTTGAAGCATGAATCACTTGAGAAGTTGGGATAAAAAGATATACTAAACCTATAGTTGTCTTTAGAAAAAAAAAAAAGGATTCACAAATGATATTGCTGGAATAGTCAAGCTGAGCATGATTTCTGCGAGGTGCTATTCCATCTGCTGAGATGGGCTGTAATTAAGTTAATGATTATTGACTAAACCATTGTGTTGTCATACCAGATAGACCCACTGATCCAATCAAAATCTTACCCAGCATTGATGAATAGCTGGACCCACTTCAGTTTGCTGGCATGTCTCCATTTTTGTTGTATATTCTTCTGGGATGTTCCGAGCAGGAAAAATGGTTCATGTCCAGTGCTGACTTCTAAGCGGGAAACAGAGTCTGGGATTAATAGGAGTTAGTATTCTAAGTGGTATAGATTTGTTATTAACCTAGCAATCCACTGGAGGTCATTACTGTCCACTCCAGTGTCTTTAAATCATTCTGTATGTGGAATGAACAAAACACTATGTCTGAGAGAAGGTACCTGCTCCTGGGATCAGTCTAATGCCAGCTGCAGAGTGAGCTCGGCTAGGATCTTATCTCTTCAAAAGCATCATTTTCTGAGAGCAGAAGGTATCCACTGTTCAAAAAGATACTCTGTGCAACCTGCCAGCAAACAGAAGCAGAAGGGAAAAGAGGATATCATCTTATGTCATTTAAAGAGACAGATAAACCTCTCTAGCTTCTAGTTAGTTTAAGTAGGAGACACGCTTATCTGCATTGTGTATAGCTAGAGTGTCTGTCTCACTGGTCCAATGGCAACACAATGCAAGAGGTCAGAGCTCTGGATTGTGCTCCCTTAACCAACAGAAGCTCCCAGCATTATGGAAAAGGCATGAGCAGCCCCTGTGGGGAATAAGGAGCATCTTGTAACTCACTCAGTTGTGGATTTTTCCATCTGGTGCAAGTGCCCGATTCAGGAATCCCTAGATAAATTTGGCCATCAGTGCCAGTTTGGGTTTAAAGAAGCTTAGTTCCATTTAGGACATATCTATTCTCTGCCTACATAAATCATCCTAGCATTGAGCTATAGGGCATAAGGGAAGATAACGTATGTGCTTGCAGGTATTTTTGTCTGCTAATTCTGTTTAAACAATGAGGTAAGCAAAATCAGACTGGCATTGTGCATTCTTAGATTCCCCCAAGTAGCTCGTGCTTGCAACATCACTGGAGTCTTCTGAGGGGGTTGTACAAATGATCTCAAGCAATTTTAACATGATGTTGAACCAACCTTCACTCTTAATGTCTAGAGCAGTGGTGTCAAACTCATCTAGCCCCACAGGCCAGTCAATGGGCTACATGAATGGCAAAGGGCCAGGCCTGTGGGCCAGATCACCAGACCACCCTCACCATGCCCCTCCACCTCTGCCCCTGTGCCCAGTGCACCCCATGTAATGTCCGCCCCAACTGGTCCAGATCACACAGCACCTGTTTTGGCTAGATCAAGACTGCATCATGTGACACCCATGCAGGGCTGGTCCAGGACGTGTGTGCCATGCCTGCTCTGGCTAGTCTGGGATCTGGGCTGCATGCACCAGCCACCCTGGATTGGGCAGGGTGGGTGCTGTGGGCAGCAAGTATCTCAGACTAGCTGGAGCATGTGTATATGCAGCATGTGTCTTGGACCATCTGAGGGAAGTGTCATGTGCTGCACACATGCCAGACAAGCTGAGATAGGTGCTATATATAGCATGGTTCTCCGACTGGCCGGAGCAGATGCCACGTGCAACACATGTCCTGGCTTGGCCAGGGGGGATGCCATGTGCAGCGTGAGTCCTGGGCTGGCTAAAGCATGTGCTGTTTGCGGCACATGTCCTGAGTCCTACACAAGAGGCCGCTCCACTGCACATCAACTCTGGACCCATGGGCTGGACGATGGGGCTCCACAGGCCATATCTTTGACACCCTTGATCTAGATAAATAAAGAATAATAGGTGAGATCTCAGGGGTTAGTAGGAAACAAATTATCCCTGCCATCAGAAGTCACCAAACATAACATCACTGAGATCTTTAAAGGGAAGAATAATATCCAGAGGGGTTGGGATTGTTGGGGAGAGTATAGTGGCTTTCACAGCAGAAAAGAAAGAGATCTGTGTTACAGTATTAGAAGAGGGTTTCTTATTCACATTGCTGGCCACTGACAGCCACCAGGACTCTCTTAAATTCTCTGGGACCCATAACAGCACAAACTGGGTAGCCATAGCAGATCTCCTCTGGTCTAGGTCTGAACTGAAAAGTTGTAGAATGTATTGTTTGCTCCACTAATGAGGAACTGTAGCATCTACTGATAATCAAGAATAATGCTGGTTGAATCTTTATTTCTTCTAGTAATAAATATGTTGTCAAATGGTCCTGTGCTAAGGACTAATGTCCTAGCATTTAGAGACGAGCTTAACAGAGCTTTAGCCTGAGGGAAATAACACAGTTGCATGTATAATTTTCCCAGATAATAGATGGCAATGAGGTGGTTCCTATATAGAATTCCTGTTTCATAAGTTTTTAGTTTGCAGGAGCAAGTCTGGGGATCTTTAAGCCTTCATCATTACCAGTGACTTATGAAAGTATAAACTCTTGCTTAAAATTGAATATGATGCCTGAGAAAGAAAAGCAAGAATACCAATTGTGTATTTGAGTCAGGTAAGCACAGAGGTTCTTATATTGCAGGCAACGTTATTTAAAATGCTTCTTTGTGTATATATGGGGGCATTGTCTGTTGTTTTCATTATGAATTTGATGTATTTTGTATGTGCATGAAGTTGCCTGATTATATAATGAAGTACAATATTTGTTGATCTGATCTGTATTGTTTCTCTTTATTTTGGCGAGGAAAAGAAGGTAATGGCCTTATGTTTTCACTGACATCCTAAGGGGTACATAATCCTCTCTCAATAATATTAACAGCTACCATTTACATAACACTTTTTATCCATACATCTCAAGTACTTTATAAATGGAGGTCACCCCGTTTTGCAGACACGAGGCAGTAAAATGATGCGCCCCAAATCACCCAGCAAGCCATTGGCATAACAAAAATAGACTGAGTCCACTACACATTTCTACTTGCAAGCAGAACATAGCTAGATGAAGATGGGAAGATTTTATTCTGTAGAAAAACATGGCACAATGCAGTCCCATATAATAATACCAAAACTAGCTCTGAAGGAGCTCCTCCATCTTTGCAGCATGGTGAAGTAGCAAGTATGGAATGGCATTAACACAATTATACCGTTTCTGCAACCCCTTGGGGCAAGCTCAGGTGGTCAACTCATTGTGAAAGACAACGCAGGTAGTAAGACACTAGAGTAGGGGTCTAATACTAACCTGCCACGTGACCGTGGAAAAGTCATTTCCTTCTCTCTGTGTCTTGCTCCTCTCCCCTAGTTGTCTGTTTTGCTTTTTAGCCCCTGGTTCTGCTTTTTGTTGCAAAGGAGCTTTAAACTGAAAGGTCTCTGGGTCATGAAATATTTCCAACTATACTCCTAGACAAGGTTTACCACGTTACGGCCTCAGTTTTAATAGGGGTATCTAGGAATTACTGTCATACACATATTAATCACTACTAAACCTTTGACAATGAGACCTCTTGTCTTATAAATCCCTTACGAGTCTGACCAGCTTTTCTGTGGTAAATAAATACTTTATGCAAAAAAGAGAAATAATTGGCAAACTTCATTTGCCTGACTAACAGAGTTCATTTTGAAATGACACACAATTATCTTCCAACCTAATTCATATGCTGGGGGAGCTATTATTTCTATTTAATTTTGGAGAAAAGTTTCAATTTTCTTTCCTTCAAAAGTAGTGAACCAGTTTCTTTAACGAAAAAAACCCCACCATTAATCTTCTCATTTTACCTTGGAGCGATGAAGTTGGAGTTATTTATGCTACCTCATGTCTCTGGGTCCAGGAGTTACAGATGCCTTTGAAAGCTGCACTGTCCAGATAAGGAGTATTGGAAGTGAGCTTTTTTACATTGTAACCTAGCAGGATGTTTGTCATTCCTATCAGCCCTGTGAATTCATTTGAGTGAACCAAAATGCTGTTTTCTTTAAGATTTTAAATTGTCAGAGGGTGGATTCGTGTTCATTTAACACAAATAATTGCTGCAAATGAAGCTGTGATTGACAAGCCTTGTTTTTAGGGGATTCTTATTTTATCTACTATTAATTAGTGATTTTTTTTTCTTATTAGTTAAGGAAATAATTTGCCTGTAATTTGCAAAAATGACACTGCTGACAGAATTCTGAATTATCAAGTAAAACAACTTGTTACTGTCATTATTTAAACGTTAAGTTACTCCATATTGCAAAGTGGCACAGACCCCAACCCTGCAACCAGATATCCACAGACAGACCACATTATGTTGGCCATCATTGAGGACAGTCCGGTTGTCCTCTGTCCTCTATTGATATGAAACTGCTCACCTGTATGTCTTCTATTTTTCTCTTCAAGAGAAAAATAGAGGACATAAAGCTATCCGGTTTCATATCAGTAAAGGACAGAGTAGCAGAAAACCAGAATGTCCTCTATGATGGCCACCCTAGACCACATGCATCCACAGAGATCCCCAGCTGCAGTTTATGATCTTCAGGACAGCTATGGCATTCTAAGACAATGCCACTTGTAAGCCCCAGGACAAAAAGTGCTATGGTTGAAACTGAAACTGTGTCTGTTATATGAGATTGTATAGCAAATTTGACTCTTAACCCTTGTTAACCCTTTGGCTAGGGACAGAAATTACATGTAAACCAGTATAAGTTGTTGGAAACTGGTCCAAATCTGTAACACAATAGACATTTGGGGCACATCAATCACTTTCAAAATGGCCAAAACCGGTTTGAGATAAACCTGGATGGATATAGTATCAGACATTACTGATTTCGATAGAGTCAGTTTTTTGAACTTCTGTACCAGACCCCCTCCAGATTCAAGTTAACTTAGTCACCCAGCATCCCAGAATGCTTTTCACCTGCCCTGCAACCCCCCACTTGCAGAGTGGGTGGGCTAACCTTGAGCCAAGCTGTCTGCTCCAACTGAGCTGGAAGGCAGGTTCTAGCACCTCCCAGCTTCTGGCCTGTGTCACTGAAGGCATATGGACGCATTTCCAGAATCAAAAATGAATGTCTGTTTACTTGCTTATTGGCTCAATCTCCACAGTTTAAACTAACCTGTGAAGATTGAATCGGTTCAGCTTCAGGCTTTTTGTCTGTACTTAGCCTTTGTGCCCATAAGTTTCTGAAGATAGTGGAGCTCTGCAGGGATGTAGGGGTCAGCCCAGGCCCAAGCTACATTCAACTCAATGGGTAAATGCTAGCAAGGGTGAGTGGCTAACTGGAGGCCCTCATCCTGCAATTGCAGTGGCAAATGCAGGGGACACTGGAGGCCCTCATTCTGCAACTGTATCCGTATGAGCTGACCCCTTCATCCCTGCACAGCTCCACTATAAAATAAAATAAGCATAGTGTTACTTACCAAAGCCTTGTAAGCCACTGTGAGCTAAATCCAATTTAACTTCATGTGCAAAGCTGGAAGTTTGGGGTGGGTACTGACATGCAGCTAGGCAATCAAGAGAGAGAGAGACATAGGACCCAGAAGGAGAGAACAAGCCTTAGGGTATGTGGCTCAATGAAATAGATGCTGTTCTGGATTAGAGGGGGCCCTGGACACTAGCCGGGGTCTTTGGTCCTCATGGGAAAGAAACTTTCCCAGCACTTTGTATTAAATTAATATTAAATGCAAGGTGCAGCAAGTCAGCTGGAAGAAGTGGGCTGAGTCCGCATAATGTCTAACCTGTGGTTTGGTGGCAATATGTATTTGAGGAGAAGCAGGAGTTCAGACCTCCTGTGAGTGAGAAGGGGCTTTAGAAAGTGCCCTAGCCACTAAGCTATTGAACAAAAACAGCATCTTCTCCTTTAGCATCTAACACCAGCTAGTTCTGTGTTTTGCCTAAACCTGGGGCTTACCCAGACTTAGGTGTCTGTGGCAGCCCATCTACCCAGGCAGAATACAGCCTGACTGAGCATGTGTAGAGGGCATCTGCCTGCTTGCTTGTCCAGACCTAAATTGCAAGCTGTGCCTTTAAGTGCAGTTATGTTTGGGGCCATTTAAGCATGTAAAGAGAAATAGGATTTAGCATGCTTTAATGAACTCTTATGACACTTGTGGAAAGTTGGTAAGTAGCAC